GCTGATGCCTTCGAGCGGTGGGTGGATCTTCGATCAGCCGCTGCAGGCGTGACATGGGTGTTGTGGGTCTGCTGGTTTTAAGACTGCTTCTCTGATCTTCTTAAATTTCAGGTGCCAAACAACGGGCTATAGTCCTCCTGAAAAGCCTCTTTTCAGGATTGTGGTACCCTTTTTGCTGCTTGTCTGTAAGGGAAAGAGCAAAGGACAATAAACAGCCCGTTTCGAAAGGCGTGGGGGTCCACCTTTTGAAGACACACCCAAACAGCGCTGTGGCAAGCTCCAGACTCATTTACGGGCTGCATCTAAGGGCAGCCGCCAAGTTGCGGTGGTCTTTGCCGAAAGTCAAGCACATTTGGTTCATTGGTGGGCCATGACACTTTTTCTGGGCTATAGCACAGTTTAAAATTGCCATACGTAATTCAATGACGCACGAATAGAGGCGCACCTTCGACACGAAACATGAGGCTAATGTCAAGGCTAATGTCAAGGCTTCATAACAATTCAACCAGTTTCCTCCACCTACCGACTGGTTCTTTACCTGCGCACACAGGCTGAGGAGGGACCCCCACAAAGCGGAGAAATCTGCAGTATGGGGGGGGGGGGGTCAAAACCATGGCCCCTGACAGACGATGATATGTTGTGCCGCCTTTGCAAGAGGCTCAAAACGGGTCCACGGCTTTGACCACCTATATCAACAGCAGAGTAGATCAAAGTGGATCTGAGCAGGTCCCAACGGGGCGGGCAGTTCTGGCAGGTTCCATCATAGCCAGGATTTTTTTGGGACCTGGGCATTTGGACTGGGGGGCTCAAGTGAGTGTCTCTGAAAATTGAGGGTATCCCAAAGGGAAGCCGAGAGGAAACCAGGTGTGGGGTCACCATATTTTTACACGAGCAACAACAACCCACGTTGGTCAAGAAGAGCAGATTTCCCCGCACCGTCTTTTCCAGTCGTCAGGCGTCTTGCGTGCGGAAGCCAACCAAGTACCTATGCCCGTGCTGCGCTCGGGTTTACGGTCGCTGCACTGTGTCGTTCTGCCGAGTAGAATTGCTGGTGCAGTGGCACATGGGAGTATCTCAAAAAGGTGGACTCCCTTTTAGTTGGTATTTAGAGGAAACCACCATTTTAGGCCCGTGTAAGGACGCAGCTGGAGACGTGGATGCGATCCAATCAGGCTGAATTACATGACTGAGACAGGCGGATTGGTTTTGTGCTGTTAAGCCTGGATTCAGCACCGACAGGCCACCAAACTCCTTCAGCGCAGGAGGCTCTTCGGCAGCTTTTCATTGAGAGGTACCAGATGGCCAGAACTGTCTGCTTGGCCACAAGGGCCATGGGCCATGTTGCTAGTGCCTCTTTTCGCGGGCGCAGGTGTACAGCGCCCTCCCTGAGCGAGTGCAGTCTAGATTTTTGCGTGGCCTTTGGCCCGGCATGCAGCTTGGATGGCAATGCGTTTCAACTCGTACCGTCCACACCACTAGGTCAGCAAGGCCCCAATAAGGTCTGTTTGGAGGAACAGCCGCACACGACATTTCAAGCCCTGGTTCACCCTTGTCTCTCTTTGATCACCAGCCATGTCAACTTTTTTCCTGTAGTCTATATTCCTCCCTGCACGTTCAAGCGGCGCACGTGCGCATGGGCACCATGCCCACGCACGCCCATTTAGGGATGCGTGTGTGTGTGTGTGTGTGTGTGTGTGCATACGCAAACGCCAGCACGTCAACACACCGATAGACCATCACACTTGTGCTGTGGTGGACACTTCCCTTTACCTAGAGTTGGTAGGAGCAAGATAATACCATGGCCCGGCCCACTTGACCGGCGCCCAAGGCTGATTCTCCTCGCCCATTTTAGTGCTTCTACTCCTGTTTTAATAGGGACTCAAAGCCAACTTTAGGACAGTGCCCGGAGTTGAAGCCAATTGAGGCGGGACATCGCGGGATCTTCTGGCCGTCTCTTGCTGACCTGGACCGGAATCGAAGGGTTGTTCAGAAAGTGGATGCCTTCTTTTGAAGCTGCTAACCCCTTTAGGGAAAAGTGTGGTGAAATGAGTTAGCCCGTGGACGCCCCAAATCGTGGCCCACGCATTTCTGGAACATCTCACATGAGTGCGAACTGTACCTGTTGGTTGGATATGCTGACTGATTGTTACTCACTTTGTCGTTAGGGTCCAAACTTGTGACCCTTTCTTTTGGCACCCTCACAATGACTGGGCCGGTATCCACAGACGATGATTAGGAACCGAACCGCGGTCGCCTCACCCACGATCACCGAATCTAATGAGTGAAAGGCGAGCACTTGGTGGGGGCCTTGTTGTGCAACCTGTTTCTTTAATTGTCCTTCACTGGCTTTCAGGCAAAAGAAACGGGTCGGGTCGAGAAGCTCACTTTTGCGGCCGCAACAAACTCGCAGGACTGGGGGCAAGGAGTCCAGCACTTGGCTTTTGGAATTTGGCACCATTTGTTGCGACTTGACAAAGCCAGGGTAGATGAAAGGTACTGTAAGGGCCAGTTGGATGAAATACAAGGAATCAGTGACCAAGCCATGACGGTCGCGCTTGCATCGCCTTCGCTCAGGTTCGTGCAGTTGGCCCAGAATTTGGCCTTGTCCATCAAGAAGCATGTGCCGAGTAAGAAGCTCGGCATTTGTTGGAAATTCAAAGAACCTGCTTACTCAGGCTTACGATGGTTGTGGACCCTGTAGGTATTTTGGAACCATGACTCTGGCCGAGAGGTTTGATGGCAGATTTGATTCATCCTGCATTCTTGATTCTTGAATCTTTTTGCGAACAGCTCCACGGAAATTGTGCGTCAGTTGGAGGTTTGCTGCCTCATTTCTGCGTCGTCGCTCTCGATGATGCCGCAGACGCAGATTTGTGAGTGATGCTGACAGCCGGCTCTAGCATGTCCTTGCCATGGTGAAATGTTGTTTTTTTGTTTCTTCTTTTTTTCACTCATGGCACGGCCTGGGAAGTGAGGAAGCCGAGATGCAGCTGCGCTCACATGGCATTTGTGCCGGGCGCCTTCATTGCACACCGACATGATGATGAGAGCCAGCGTGCCCGGTTCTTCTTTTGTTGCCAAGGCCTTGATCAGTGAAGACTCGTTGGCAGCTCATTCTGCGAATCCGGGCACAGATTTGTCACAGGTTTTTTGCGCTGTTTGGCTGCTTTTAAAGCATACGTTCGCAGACTGTGGAGTGCATGGCCCCCATGTACCTGCGGTGAGGCTCGTGTCAGACCCTGACCGTCCGCGCCCAAGCTGGACTGGCTTGATGTTTCGAAAGTAGATCAGGGGCAAAAATGATATTATCAGCCAGGCGGGGCTGTACGAGTGTGGATTCATCCTTGTATCGCTCAAGTTCGGCTGGGTTCCCCAACATCCTGTTCTTGCTCTTCAACATGCAGGGAACCCATGAAGGACCCAGCCGGGAATGTCCTGGATTTGCTCGAGGGGGTGGAGGGTGGAAGTTGAGGAGAGCCCTGCGAGGTGTCTTCGTGGATTTGTTGAGGCTTGGTGGGGCTCGGTGAGGTAAACTAGTGAACCGTGCATATGAGAACCATTCGAGCCATCAACAGGTGCCAATATCGGCCCGTCGGATTCTTTGCATGGTTTTGTTTCGGGTAGACCATTTTAATCCCAGGTTTCTATCCAGTCATCTACAATTTTTCCCCAAGGACCAGGCCATTGCTCTTGCCCCAATTTCTTGGGGATTCCGGGCGCCTCCTTGTAACTTGAGGTTTGAATTTCCACAGCTCGTTCAGCTATGGGGTTTCCCAGGGCTTGTCTCCGTTCCGGAAGGGTTGAGAATACCTGGGATCTGTTCCGCTTCTGCTTTTTTGAGGCTGGGACTTTAAGAAGCGCCTGCTGGGCGCTGGCCTGGTCCTTGGCCTGGAGGTGCGATGCGACGGGAGGCGACGGGTTCTAAAGGGAAAGCAAAAAGGACGCCAAGTTTTTTTGGGGTCCCCTGAACAAGACACACCCAGTTGGCTGAAAAGATGGTGAAATATGCAACTCCACAACTATAAGGCCAGTTCTTTCAACTTGACATCATTATTGTTCATATTATTTGAAATGTTCCTTCCGAAGGCGGCGGTGCAACAGGCATCTACTTTGAAAAGCAGTCAGCAAACAGGCCAAAACATAGATGCTGAAAAGCCAAGAGAACGACCAGAATCAGGAGAGCATCATCGTGGTACGGTCACAGAACATTGAGGCTGACAGATGTGGCAGAAAATGGGTTCGACAATAAAATGTATAAGAACATCGATGAACCGTGATCAGAGCCTGTCTTAGCTGAAGCAAAAAGCAGGCCTGTCCCAGGATCCCAAGCAGTTTCCTTCAACATATCCAGAAGTTTGTTTTCCATTCAACAAGAGAAGGGCGAGCGAGCTCTAATTTCCCACACAAGCCGGGGTACCACCCAAATGTCTAAATTTGGGCGGTGTGCATTGTTGCTCACTGCAAATAGATGCATAGTATTGGCAACGTGAACTTCCGCAGTACTGGAACTTGCGGGTGATCGTCAAGACTGGATGCGCTGAAAAAGCTGCGAACAAGGTGGACAACGATCGTGGCAGAAAACCTGGCCCTGTGCGTGAATTTGGCTATTATACATTTGCGCAAACCACTGCGGTTGCGACGCCTGTGCGGAGCGGTCTCGCGGAGCCGGGGTTATTGGCGAGGCCACGCGTCGTGGCAGCCTTCAAAAAGAGAACCCTCTGCACACTTTCGGTTGGTCGACCATCAAAATATTGCATTTCTTGTTCTCTCTGCTCCATTTGCGGACTTTCGATGGGTTGACCTCAAAAAATATCGTGGTTTTCGTTTTTCATTGCGCACGCGTGACCCTCTGCGGACTTTCGATGGGTCGACTCCGCGACATTCGCGGCGTTTTATGTTTTTCATCTCAAGAGAAAGAGAAGGAGAAGGAAAAAGACAGAAAGATAAAAATAACGATAACTGTAAGTCTCATGTTTCTTGAAAGCCTTGGTTCTGCTCCAGGTCTTGGGTATGGCTCGTCAGTGGGAGCGGGGGCGGGGGGACAAACATTGTGGCTCTGCTCTTGGTTTCCCTGCTTCAAACCGATCTGAAAAGCTGATTGGCGATGTACCTGTTGACCAGCTAACTTGTTAAGTTTTGTTAGCTAGCTGGCCATCCCTGCATTCAAAGGAGTTCTCGCAGCACCTCGCGGCCAAGCTGTATGTCAGACCCATTGATGCTACCTCTCGCCAACCCAGTGCTTCCTATATTTCTGCTTTTGGCATCCCAGTTAAATTAAACTCACTCTTGATTGCCCATGTTGCCATATTCACATCACAATAAAGGAGAAAGTAGGGAACCCAGACACATTATCTAACAACACATCTGGTCTGTTGTTGGCTTGGGGAGGACGAGAAGGCCGTCCCATGTCTGTCTAGTGAAAACCTTCATTATTTGTGCGCTCGAATGCTTCGAGTGTCAGGTTCTTGTTCTGGATGCCGACTGCGTGATTCTTCAAGATCCTTTTCTCAACGTGTGGAACGTCTGTGCCTCAGAGTGCGAAAGGGCGCCGTGCCGACAGCCAAGACCTGGGCCCGCCTTTTCCAAAGGATTCGCCTCCGTCATTTTTTTTGTCCGTCGGAGCGGACTGGCCAGGATTCGGACTTAGAGACCGGGACGGACCACATGTTCCCGGAGCGGGACCTTTGGCAGCCCCACATGAGGCACTAGAACTTCAGCTTGGGGCAGAGCGATTTTCCTGAACTGGAGCTTGCAAGCCCCAGAAGTGGTTGGTGGACATGACCCCCCAACCTAAATGATGTCCACAAAGGGTCCCATTGGGATCCCGCCCCTTGAGAGGCTGGAAGAGCATCTCAACACGGGCTTCCTCTATGCCAACGGCAAAGGCGCCTCGGATGCTCCTGAATTGGCTCCAATGCTCCATGCTCAAGAACCATTCACTTGCTTCGGACCTTGGAGCCAATGCGATTGGGCCATTCCTGATGCTAACTCAGGGATGGTCCAAACTTGGCGTACAGGTTCAAGAGCCATTTTCCCAGCTGACTATTTCGGGGCCGGCTTTCAGCTGCGCCACACACATGTCTCTTTCGCGCGCTCAGCTCGGGGTGGGCGGCTGCTCTGCTTTTTGGTCAGCGCCTCGAGACAGGTTTGAGAGAGATTGATTCACAGTGCAGACCTCCAGTTCGTTTTTCTCTTCCCCCTTTCTTTTCTCCAACCCAACAGGATATCCTTTTTCCTGCGGAAATCCATTGGAGGCCTGGGTGAGCTGAGTTTGTGGTTGCTAAAAAGTCCCGCAGCAGTTGCAACAGATGTCAGGGTATTCGCAGGTCAAAATGGAATGCCGTGGGACACTCAACCAAGTACCACCCGTAGAAGGGGTGGGGTTACTCAGCAAATGCCAACGTCGGCAGGGATTGGACGCGGCCTAGGCAAGCTTCTTGCACATTTTCGCAGAGCCGGATTTGCTCGGCCTCCCGTGCTGAGCTGAGGCTTGTGTGGGCCAGTCAGCGCTCAAAACTCCCAAGCCTGAACGGCCAAAGCCCCTATTTGCTATTTCAGTAGGTCGTTCTTTTACTTTGTTTCATGGGGCGTATACTAAGGCCTAACCTTTAGAACTGTGTTGGTACTAACCCAAACTCAATGGGTTTTAGGGACTTTCTTAGCGCGCCTTTGACCTTGGAGCAAGATTAAAACTTCTTGGCTTGCGGAGCAAGTGACGATATCGACAGCTCACATTGTGACTACATGTGATAGTGAATGTCAAAGTATTATGCAAGCTGTTTTGGATACAGTTCACGTCTTGAAATCAATGCCTAAGTGCTGTGACTGGCGATGGGTCTGAAACGTTGGCCCACGAGCCCTTCTTGCCCTCAGGGGCGACTCGGTTGAGGCGCGACTTCTTTGATCAGCGGGCCTTCAACAAGTTCGTGACTGGCGCCAAGTGCCTTTTTTCCCCCGCCGGAAGGGGCGTGTTGTTTTTTTCCAGGCATACCAAGGAAATCCATTATTTATAAGAAGGTCCCCAGAAGTCCATGGGAAACGGGCCCGAGGCTGATGCATCTGGCTGCGGCGCCTCCCATGGCTCAGATCCGGTACGGCAAATCACAGGCAGACTGCGGTTGCCTTTCAATGCAAATGCCAGTATCATTCGGAGTCAACGGTTGTAATCCGAAATGCCACGAGGCCGCCCTTTGTTTTTCTCGAGGTGGAGCTTCCCAGCTGGCCGCCGGAGCGTCTGGCCGTGGCTGAGATGCTCGGAGAGGTCTGCGGACTCTGCCGTTCAGAACGGGCCCCGGTTCGAATGAGCCAAAGGGTCAAATGGGTGTTTCTCCAAATTGGAAAACCCACCCATGGGTTGTTTCGCTTTGAAGCCAATCAGGAGCCCTTGGCCTGTCTGTTTTGTCTTATGGTTTCGGATCCCTGCATGGCTCTTTTCTTAGCCGAGCGAGGCCAGCCAGCCTTTAGTGATCAGAGTGCAGACCTCAGATCAAAGCGCAGTGACTTTCTGAGAGGAGAGCTGAAACTTCAGATCCTGAGGCACTTGGGCAACGGACCGCCTTGAACTAGACCCTGCACTAGAGATGTGACCCTTTCGTTCTACATGGTCTCTTAAAGTCGTACCCAATCATGAATCACGGGGCAGCGCAGCTTCCAACGTCCAGATTGCCATGATCGATGTTTGACTTTTCACGTCTGCCAGCAGCTCAAAGAGGATTCTGTCCTTGCGCCATGTTCTCAGGAGCAAATTGTCTATTGATCACTTATGATGGCGGGACGAGCTCTAATGTTCCCACAAACGCCAGCAGCTCGCTGGATTTTGGCGTTGACCCAGCACTTTGAGTGCAAACCATTGCCAGGTCTTGGATCCCGAGGCGCAGGGATTGGGTGTGAATAAGGATAGGGGACCCTTTGGACATGGTGGGGATTGATGTCCACTAACCACTTGGGAGTTGGTTTGCCATAGAAATTAAGCTAATTCATAGCCACTTGTGCCATGGTCAAAAGGCCCGGTTGGTGATGCTGATGGAGCCCTTGAGAAGACCGTGAAACGTGACCGTGACCGTGACCCATAAGGAGTTTTGACACTAGCACACTCAAGGTCTGGGCTTCATTTTTTGATTACAAGGTAGACTTGGACCCGTGATTGATTTCGGCGGAGCCCCTGAGATTAAGCCTATCTTGTGGGCGAGCGGGCGGCCAGTCCCGACCCAACCATTCCAGCCGGATTTCCATCCCTTGTGTTTTCTTTGTGTATTTGGCGTGGGTCTGTGAGGCAAACTAACAGGATATGTTTTTTGTCCACAATGCATGGCTGTCGAGCGTTTATGTGTCAAATCGATGGAGTCCATTTTGTGCCGTACGCTATGAATCGATTCCTTTGACACCTTCCCATTTGGCTTGTTTCACCGAGCCAAGCTTGGAACAGGGGGCTCGGGAACTCGAGTTGAACTTTTGGGACATGCAACCTTGAGACCGTGGGGACGCAGATTCCAATGGCATTTATGATTAAAGGTGGAAACCCTTCTTGAAGTTGTTGAAAAGAGAAACTATATGAACTACATGGACACAAACCCATGTGTTGGTTCGGCTGGTTTGAGACAAAAAGCCGCGCCCGGTTGACTTTCACCTTGTGCAGATCATTGCCCATGGCATGAACTACTTCCGGAGAGCCTGGCTCTTGGCCACGGAGTGACCAGCGAGTGTCTTATTCTCCTGAAGCACACGAAAGGGCCCCCGAAACTGCAATGCCTCTGGAAATGACTTGGAATTTTAAACTCCAAGTCAACCAATGGGTATATGTGGAATGGGAAATACTAGTATTTAAGGAAATGGTGCGATGCAGGGCCTCTTGGGCTCTGAAGCGTGTCATTCACGGCTGCAGGCTACGCATCTGCATCGACAGCCTGCTGTCGTGCATGCGAACGGCGTGGATGCAAAGGTCTACTTTATGAGGGACAGGTGGGCTCAGTTGAGAGGAGGGGTATCACGTACCTGCAGACATGTGCCCAAACACGTGCATCACCCTGTGGAGCTGCACGGCGCGCCAGGGGCATTTGGTTTGTCGACGACTGGAGCGAGCGCTTCCCTGTCGACTCCCGCTTCTTGTTCCTTCCCCAGCATGTCGCGTGAAAACATACGCAGCCTTTTGCTACTTTTTGCTTGGTGCGACACCTGGCCCAAGGACCTACGGTCATCCGCCGGGCCTGGACCTGAAAGGCCAGCGGACAAATAGTTCAACGGGGCGGACAATTGCTTCGCCATGGTTCTTGGACAAACCTGGTCATTCCATTTACTCCAACCAAGTTGGACATGACGAATGGCGAAACGCCATGGGCTGCCATCAGGGATCCATGAGCTCTCGCAGGGGACTTCAACACCTTGTTGGCCGCCTTGGAAGTCGCGAAGGCGCTTAGCTCTGCGCAGAGCAGCGGCTCCAGCCGCCGAGTTGCTGTACTGCGCCGTCAGGTCTTGAAGCGCCGCTTGGTGCTCCCCAGGCCGTCAAAGAGAGCCACAATCAAACCCGAAGTGAAGGTTAGCGCCGGCCCCAACCAATGGGTACAGATATCCGCATTTTTTTGTTGATTAGTTGATTGCGACTCAGCTTTAGAGGTTCCAGAGTTGTACCCTGAAGGTGGTACCCTTCCGAACTTCAGGGGCAGTTTTACAGAAGCGCCAACTGGGCGGTATCACGTAGGGGTACGACCTTCACGGTACGACTGTCACACTCTTGAGAGTTGGATCCTCGATAGTGGGTGTCACGAAATCCGCTTCGCACATAGGACCTCATAGTCAGGACTTTGTCCATCCATGGGACACATCCCTTGCATTCCTTGGGGGCAAACGAGGGGTTGCTTGGGTCTGGTTGCGAGGGAGGAAACATCCCCGGAAGCCAGGACCATGCACTGTGCCAACTCCCCAGCGCACGAAGCGTACCAGTTGCCGCTGCAGGAGTCCTGCATGAACCGGTTGTGCCAGGGTCCAACACGACTTTGTTGGGGGAATGGTCAGGTCAAGACCTTTCTTGGGGACTGGTCAGGGTCAGGGAAGGTCACCAATACTTTACGTGGAATTATGATCTCGACCGCGGCATGGACATGTTTCAACATGTTGGATGGATTTGAAAGGCAAAGAAGAGGATACCAATGCTTGTCGTAGGAGTGCACCGTGGACCATTTCGCCTCGCCCAAAATTCTGCCCGATGCCCGGATATTTTGAATTTGGATATTCATTTGACCCTCCCTGTCCAGGGTTTCATTTTTGGTTATCCCACAGAAGACTTAAGCCCAGTCAAATCAACAACCCCAGGGTTTCAGTCTAGCTGGGCTACTAAACACAACGAGCCGTGCTGCTGTCCATATCGTCAGGTTCCGCTTGGACGAGAGGAAGAAGATTTCTCACAACAGTGATCAGTGGACCCCTGGTTGATTGCCATAATCATGTTCATTGATGCTATTTGATACCGGATCAAGATATAATGGAGGTGCAAGTTCTACTGTACCCTTCAGTTGGAGGATTGGCGCATAGATGCAACACATCTCAATATCTCCATCCTTGCATTGCTTGCGCCATCTTATGTTTCAAAAACCAAGCAATGCCTTGCCCTGCTCACCGTCTCGGTTTGCAAGATCTTCTTAACTTGTTGCAAGCAACGAAAAGGGCACCACATGCACGCTTCCACCTACCTGGCTTAGCAACAGCAAGCGGTGCATGTGGTGAACTTTTCTTTCAAACATGCTTTCTGCTGTTGCGAGAGAGAGAGAGAGAGAGAGAGAGAGGGAGGACCTTTCTTGGCTTTCTTGTTGCTGGCACTTCGGGTTATTGGGAACACGCGCTCAGGCTCCGGTACTACAATGAGAGTTTGGTGGAGTCTTCGGTGGCGACTCATCCACAGCCTGCTGCCCAAAGTTAATCCGCGCAACTTTGTACGGGGTCCATTGATGTGATCCTCAAAATGACGGATGGTGGTTCCAGAGGGCCCCCCCGCAATCATTTTGAGGACTCCTCATAATGATCACTTTGAGAGAACCAGTTGTACACTTCCTTACGCCACAGGATTGAGCAACACAACTTCGCTGAACAGGTACCAAGCATTGCTATCGTCAAGCAGCTGGACGGTCGGTCCTGCAGATGCTGATGCGCTGCTGGAGGATGGACCAATGTTCATGGGTTCCTCCCCCAACGAACAGCTCGCAAAGGTTTTGTTGGCCAGCTGACCAGGAGTAGGTTCTAGTGAAACATATGAATGGAGCCCGCGGAGTGGAATATGTGCATGACATTACTGCACTCCAAGGGTGGTGGTGGGCCGTGGGCCATTTTGGCTCAAGGGCCCACCACCACCATACCTTGCTTTTTCTTTCCTTTTCATGCTTGATGGTGGTTTGGGTGCTCCTCGCGTTCGTCCTGAATCATGGCGGCCTTCCCCACGGAGGCCGAGGCGATGCGGATTCGCACGATGTCGGACCTGAGGCTTCACTATCAGGTGGACCTCGCGGTCTGGCAGGCAGTGACGGTCGCGATGGGCGACCCGGGCGAGGACATTCGGCCCTTTGCGGCATTGCCGGCCGCGATGGTGGCCTTGGCCTGCGAGTCCGCGGACAATGGAGGTCAGGCCTTGACAGCCATTCAGGCCTCACAGGTGGGGTTGATGTTCCGGTTGGCGAGGAGGATCTACCACGTGAAGAACGGTGGGTCCTGGGATCAGTGGGAAGACCCACAATCTTGGGAAGCGCCAGTCAAGACCAGCCGGGGACGCGGGCACAGTAGTTCAGAAGAGCCTGGAGCCCAAGATGAAGATGACGCACATCCTGGACCAGGGCGACGAGACGGAGTTCGTAGTAGAGCCGGAGGAAAAGAGGGCGCTGTGGGTGGCGAACTATGTCAAGGTAGTAGGCGGTCTCCCACCCGAAGAAGAGGAACCCTCGATGGAACAGCTCTCAGCGATGAGTCGCAGGACCAAGGTATTGAAAGCAGCTCCCTATGCAGACTTCGCGGTGTGGGTCCCCTATGGCAAGAAGGCACTTCGGACCAGCAGGTTCAGGGTCTACATCCCGACGTTGGAGGGCTTCATGACGCGAGAAGTTGCAGGGCCCACAACTTTCGAGATGTGGCAGGCGAGTTACCGTGTTTACCGGACCGCCTTGATCATGCTGGAGACGGTCCCCTTGGCCCATCTCAACGCCTACGAAACGCACATCGAGAAGTTGGTAAGGAACTTCCCCGGCTGTTGGCATCTCATTTGCCAAGCAGACGACCGAGGCAGGTCGGAGCACCTCACGAGGTTGAAGCTGAGGGCGACCATGGCTGGAGGAGTTGGCTCAGATGTTCCAGTGGGGTTCGACGCAAGCCGTGGGCGACGCTGATGAGAGCACTAGTGGACGACGACAAGTACTGGAACGAGCAGGTCATCCTCCCGGGCACCGCTTGGATGGCCCAAGGCAGCCGAGGAGTTCCAGACACCCCGGAGGAGAAAATCTCTCGGCAGGTCACGAAAGAAGTGCGAGGTCGAGAGCTTGCAGGGAGCGAAGGTTCAGACAAGCCCAGCCGTTCTTCCCAGCGAAGAGAGGCCCGGAAGAGGAAGAGGCAATCTTGGGCCGAGGACGTTGGGAAGAATGCGAACGGGAACCACAACTCAGGAAAGGGAAAGGGAGGAAAGGGTTCGGGAAAGAATTCAGGCTCCCCAAGGTGTTTTGCTTGGAACAATGGCAATGGACCCTGCGCAGATGTCCCACCTGGGGGAGCGTGCCTTGCCCCAGTGAAGAGGGAACACAAATGTACCACTTGCGGTTCCCCGGGCCACCCCTCGAAGAACTGCCCCAACAAGAAGAGCTGAAGGCTCGAGCGTGGAGCGCCTGGGCCTTGCTGAAGATGGTAGGTTTGCTCTACTCCTCCAAGGCCACCCCGGAGAACATGGATGCGGGCGAGGCTGGATCGAAACGATCAGCCACCGAGCACCCAGCGGGGGATGGGGCAGGCTCCACGAAGTCTAGAAGGGTGGTACTCAAGCCAGCAAACCGAATCCTGCCCGAGGATGACGAGAGCACGAAGGTGAAGAGAGACGTGAATGAGGACCTCAAGGAACACCTCAAACAAAGAGTCACTTTTCGGGGCTCAAAGATGTGCTAGGTCGCACGGTTAAGGAGCAGGCCCAGGGGTGGGGCATCCAAGTTGAGGTCACGGGCGTAGACTCGGATGTGTCGGAGAACCTCCTAGGTCAGGGCATCCCGGGAGACCTGACCAAGGACAGGCCTTTCGCCGAACACCTGGACTTGGCAAAGGGAGGTCTGATAGATCTCTATCATGCGGGATTCCCTTGCTCCACCTTCTCCCGTTTAAGGTTCCGTCAGGCCCCAGGACTACCCCCACCAGTGCGCACTAAGGACCACCCTTACGGAATGCCTAACAACTCCCCAGCGCGACAGGCGGAGTGCGACAAGGGCACGGTGCTAGCTTCCAGGTCGGTAATGATGGCCAGAGCAGTGGAGGACAGCAGGCCGGGTGACAAGGTGAGACCGGCAGCAACGCTGGAGAACCCCCCGCCATCTGATGTGGATCAGCATTTGTCAGCCTGGGAGTTACCTGGAGTGGCAAGTTGGGCAGGAGAGAGGAACAAGACCACAGCTTTGTTCAACACTTGCATCTATGAGCAGGGCACCCCTACGGGCCAGCGACACTTCAAACCGCAGAGGTTCACAGGGTCGCTCCCAGGAACCATCGCGCTGGCAGGAACATGCAAATGCGGGAATGCCAGGCACGTGCCCGTCGTAGGGAAGGACAAGTCTAAGGCATCGGCGGACTACCCGCACGACCTGTGCAGGATGTACGCCGAGCTGGCCATAAGACACTTCAAGAGGATGGCCTTGGCGGAAGTGCTCAGTGCGCGCTTGGAGGTAGCTCAGTCTGAGGTGGAAGAACTCCGAGCCAAGGCAAAGGAGATAGAGAAGACGACCAGGGAGATGTGGACCTGACCCACATGCCTGAGGATTCAGAACGGCGTCCCAAGGGGACCACATCTGGAAGGAGGGCACGGGCAAGTATGGGATGTTGAAACAGCCGGCCAAGAACTTCAAGCCAGAGAGGTTGGATTTCTTGGGGGGCATGAGGGACCCGGCTAGAGCGGTGAAAAAGCTTCCTTCGCTGGTTTCACTCGGCCTAAGGATCATGGGCTCTTGGGAAAGCTTTGTGAAGGACAACCCCCGAGCTTTGGAGGTGGCGGAGTCGTACGGCACGAAGGATTGCATTCTCGATGAGAAGCTCGCTGACATTTGGAAGGCCAGACCCAACCAGCTGGTGGGGACGAGGCCAGAGGCAGCGAAGCTGAAGAGCAAGGGCGCCTACGTTTCGGAAGCCAATGCCGCGCTGCTGGAAGTTTGGGGCAGGAGAGGCGGAGACCGGAAACCGAGGTTCCGACTTGGATCAGGGAAGGCGCCCCCCTGGGTATCGACAAGCCAATAAGGACATGTATGGTCTTCCCGGCCATGGACGCCCTAGCACAGCTCACCAAGGGGGACATGCTCAACTACGAGTCAGTGGAATCGAGCAAGGCTGAGGCGGACATCGAGCTGAACCGATACCACGAGAAAGGGTACACCCAAAGAATCCCCCGATCCAAGGTCATCAAGATGTATTCAGGTGGCACCATCTCGAGGCTTGCGCTGATCGTGAAAGTGAAGGAAAATCTGGAGGTCAAACGCAGGATAGTGATCGACTTGAGGCGCTCGCGGGGCAATGACAAGCCGGTCCTCCCAGAGAAGCTAGTGCTACCCCGACCTTGCGATGCGGTAGAGATGCTCAAGGATCAGCGACGGCGGCAGCCGACTCACCCGGAGATGACACCGAACTGGTGTTGATCGACGTGTCAGACGCCTTCATGACCCTTCCGGTCCACCCGGATGAGTGGAAACACTGCCTGGCCCCGGACACTAAGGAGGATTCCTTCCTTCTGTTTCAAGCGCTGCTGTTCGGTTTCAGGACCGCGCCGCTGTTGTGGAGCAGGGTGGCAGCAATGGTGGCACGGCTGCTGCAAAGCGCCATACACCAAGCGGAAGGTAGTCACCAGGTGTACCTCGACGACAGCCTCTGGAGCTTCTACGGCACGCTCGCGAGGAGGAACCTTCTGCTGGCCTTCGTGCTCGTGACGATGGCAGCACTGGGGCTGAAGGTCGCATTCAACAAGGGCGAGAGGTCGAATGCGGTGACGTGGGTAGGGATAAGATTTGCCCTGGTGGATGCAGACACCTTGGTGGTTACCCTCCCGCAGAAGTTCATGGAGGAGCTGTTGGGTTTGCTGGAAGAGTTGAAGGGCAGAGGGATGGCCCCGGTCAGAGCGCTCAGGGTGATCGCCGGAAAGACTTCGTGGCTGGCGGGGGTCCTACCGCGAGCCAAGTGGACGGTGGCCATCTTCTACGCGGCGATCTACTCCGCGGACGATGACTCCTCCTCCGGCAAGGAGGAGTTACGAAGGCAAGCTCGCGCGGACAGCCGAAAGAAGGAGGGGTTGTTCGCAGTGAAGCGAGTGGAGCAGGCGAGACTCTGGCTGGGGGAGGTCATCAAGGTGGCGATGGAGCAGCCAATCAGGTTAATCAAGATCGGGGGTTCCCCAATGGTCGTGGTGACCATCACGACCGACGCGTCCCCCGAGGGCCTAGGCGCCACACTGCTGGTCAATGCGAAGCTGCTGGGGGCCTTGGCGAGCCCGGTGGAACCCAAGGATGCAGAGTTGCTGGGCTTCAAATTAGGGACGTCAGCATCACAGGGTACCCTGGAGAGCCTCGCGATTCTGGTGGCCATTCGCACCTGGGAAGGGAAGTTGAAGGGTGCGGGAGTGAGCTCGTGGTGCAGTCAGATAGCACTACGGCACTCAGCCTCACTCAGAGGTTGGCGCACGGATCGGCCGCTCTCAACTTCTTGGGTGCGGAGCTGGCTGTGGAATTGGAAAGACTGGGGCTAGAGAAGGTGAAGCCCCGGCACATTCCAGGGCTGGCAAACAACGTGGCGGACTTCCTCTCGAGGCCCAGCAAGTGGGCCACGGAGAAGCTGCCGGAGGAGTTGGAAGGCATCAACATCAGGCCGGTGGCTGGCAGGGACGTGACCTTTTACACCCTGCCGCCACCTGGCCTGCGACAGGACTTGTGGGGCAGCGTGCCTAAGGAAAGCGCCGCTGTGGAACAGGTGGCCGCGGAGGATTGGTTGAGGGCTGTCGGGCCTAGGGTGCCAGGGCCGCCTCACCTTTTTGCCTTGCCGTGGGCGACCTGGGAGTCGGCCGCGGCGGGGCACCGGGGCACAGACCCTGACCGCAAGCTGTCTTGCAAAAGGTCGGGTCTGTGGAGATTTAAGGAAGGAAAGGGAAGGATCAGGTAGGTAAGGAAGGCAGGGAGAGGGGACCCTAGGGAAAATCGAAGGTCCCCCCCCCGTTTTCACAGGGGGGCTTTTAAGGTTTTGCCCGTTTCGCCATACCGCTGAGTTGCATCATGCTCGAATCAACCAATTCCCGCGTGCCGGCCAGCAGCGGGGCTCGATGACGGGGTCAGAAGTCGAGGTTTGGGCCCATGAGTCCGTAGATGCCCAGCCATGGATCGATGGGGAGCTGGTCATTCTCTTGCTGCTTGCCGGCATCGGGTTGCTTCGAGTCGTCCAGATGGTCTGGAAGACGGGCGAGGCATGCATACGCTACTGCGCCGACCAAAGCAGCGAGCCCGCAGTGAAGCACCGGATCACGGTCGAGGGCTCCATGGCGGGGAACTACGAGACAACCCCTCGCGGCTTCGCCAAGCGCCGACTTGGGGGGCGAGGGGAGACGCTCAAAGAAAAGCAAATGCCAAAGCCATCCTGGAGGAGGAAGAGAAGTTCTCCCCGAACCTGGGACGGCTAATTCGGAGGCCGAGACGGATCAGGTAAAAGGAGGAGGAGCACAGCATGAACTTCGGGCACCTCCCCAACAGGCACGAGGTGACGAAGGCACCTTATTTCCTGACGGAGCTCGAGTGGACAAAGGTGCCTCCCAGGGCAGATCAAATGGAGAAGTTAGACCCCTGCACCCATTGATCCCTTCCCCTGAGCAACCTCCTCGTGGCGAAGGTTTGGGGGGGGGCGAGCAGTAAGGATAACTGGAGGTTGAGCCCACAAGGGGAAGAAGGGCGCCGGGGCAGTCAAGGGATCCTCGGCGTACATCCCCTCCTGGCGGTCAGGAAGATGATGAAAGGACAGGCTTCACGGGACTGCCAGCCAGCGGGGGGCCCTCGAAAGGCGTTTGGGTGAGGCCAGCTCTCAGCTGGATTGCAGGCAAGCTGAGCCCGAAGAAGTCATCGGAGGAGCCGGGCAGCAAGAACCATGAGTTCCCGCCTTTGGTACGTAGAGAATACCAAAGGAGGGCTAGGAAGGACTGCCCGGTCAGGAAGAGTGGCCTCAAGACCGACAGAGAAGCGGCACTGAAGGCCATCAGAGACCCTTGGAAAAGGAAGATGGCCATCAGAGAGCTGGAGAAGGGCTTCTGCGCCAACTCTTCTAGAAAGGCAAAGGCAGCAAGGAGGAACACCGTCCGGCGCATAGCAGAATCAGCGGGCTTCGCGGTCACACCTCTGGATGCTGACAAGGTGAAGGCAAGCCTGAAGTCAGCCGGCTACAAGTCTGCCCACATTTACCTCGCAGAAGCCAAGCTCATGCATGTCGAGGCGGGGAAGGCGTGGAGTGATTTGCTAGCTAGGGTCATGAGGCAGTTTCTTTTATGGCGGTGTCGAGAGGCGTGGGCCCCAGAGCAAAGGCGCCCGAGGTGCCAAGGGACCATCCAAGGGGCGCAACTCCCCAAGAAGTGGCAAGCACAGCGGCGCCTGACGGACCCGATCGAGATCTTCATTTTGGGAATGACCTGGATGTTGAGGGAAGTGGAGATCGCCGCACTCAAGAAGGGCGACTTGCTGGTCAATGACACGGCAAAGAGGGTCATGCTGGTGCTGCACGAGAGCAAGAAGGATCAAGAGGCCAGAGGAGCTAGGCGGGTCCTGCAGTGTCTTTGTCAGGGGGATTGTGGCTGGGACTGCCCTTACAGGAACGCCAAGAAACTGGTGCACTCCGGCCAGGAGGTCATGGAACTTGATGACGCCCTTTGCAAAGTAGAGCGGCGACGTAGCAACAAAGGCTCAGGTAGTTGCTAGTTGCTTCTTGGGCCAAGGTCTTCGGCATGAGGGTTGGTGGCCATTCTGCGCGACGCACGGGAGCGCTGACCTACATCAGACAGGTTGGGCGATCCCGCAAGTCGCGTACCTGGGCCGCTGGAAATCAAACGTTATCTACAGCTACGCTGAAGAAGCCTTGGAAACCATGCCGGTCAATGATAAGTGCGGCCCGGTTCGACATGGTAGCGAAGGCCCGGGTTGGGATGCCGTAAGGAATCAGCTAGCCCTCAAGGTAGAGGCCCTGAAGCTGGACACGGACGCCATGCGAGACAAGCTTGACGCCGAGGTAAGGACATGGAAGGAGAAGGTCGAAGCCGGCAACGGTGAGCTGCCATCCTTGGTGAAGAACGTGCATGGCTCCGTGATCCACATCAACGCCAGCATGGTGGCTTGTTCCCCTCCGGCCACGTGGAGGACCAGATGTGGCTGGTATTACGGCTATGCATCTTTCATCTTCATGCAGGGGAGCAAGCACCAGGTGTCATGCTTGAAGTGTAAGAGCGGGTGAGCCGCGCCAGAGCAAGGAGGTGGAGAAGGGCGGCAAAGTTGTTTCTTGAGGCCCCTCCCCCCACACTTCGAAAGACTGAAGGTGTGTGGGGGAGGGAGCCTGACCAATGCACAGGATCCACCAACACCGCAAAAGGTGCGTGTTCTTGGGAGGGAGGGTGGGTCTGTGCCATGTCTTAATGTCGACCCCTGAGTACTAAACCCCGCCCTCACTGTTTTTTTGGTGCTGACCAAGAACGTGGGGGGGGGGTGGTTATTAATCAGGGGTCGGCATTACCTGGTTTGGTGAGCATCATAGTAAGTAAGGCCTGTGTAAACCTTCACAACCAAGAGGAACTATCTGGACCAGTGAGGACCCGCGGACATCCAGCGCCGCGGTTCTGAACTTGGAGGCGCAGTGCAAAATCCCGGAGAAATTTGGCATGACATGTGTGTGTGTGTGTGTGTGTGTGTGTGTGTGTGTGTGTGTGTGTGTGTGTGTGTGTGTGTGTGTGTGTGTGTGTGTGTGTGTGTGTGTGTGTGTGTGTGTGTGTGTTGTGTGTTGTGTGTTGTGTGTGTGTGTGTGTGTGTTGTGTGTTTGTGTTGTGTTGTGCTTGTGCTTGTGCTTGTGCTTGTGCTTGTGCTTGTGCTTGTGCTTGTGTTTTGTGCTTTGCTTGTTTGTGTTGTGTTGTTTGTGTTTGTGTTTGTGTTTGTGTTTGTGTTTGTGTTTGTGTTTGTGTTTGTGTTGTTTGTGCTTGTGCTTGTGCTTGTGCTTGTGCTTGTGCTTGTGCTTGTGCTTGTGCTTGTGCTTGTGCTTGTGTGTGTTTGTGTGTGTGTGTGTTTGTGTGTGTGTGTGTTTGTGTTTGTGTTTGTGTGTTTGTGTTTGTGTTTGTGTTTGTGTTTGTGTTTGTGTTTGTGTTTGTGTTTGTGTTTTGTGTTTGTTTTTGTGTTTGTGTTTGTGTTTGTGTGTGTGTGTGTGTGTGTGTGTGTGTGTGTGTGTGTGTGTGTGTGTGTGTGTGTGTGTGTGTGTGTGTGTGTGTTGTGTGTGTGCGTGCGTGTTGTTTGGGACCTCCTTTGGGCTGGTTTTATACAAAGAGGAACTAAAAGACGGACGAACCGTAAAGACGGATGAACCGTTTTAGGGTACCCCTGCATGTTGAGACAAGCCCAACGTTTCAGGTCGATGTCGTGGAGGCTCGCGATTCGTTGTTCCAAGGGCTGCAAGCGCCGACCTGAGGCTTGGATCTAGCTTCAGGTTAGGCTGCAGCCAGCACGCAGTCCACACTTCAACCCTGGGGGAATAGGACAGATGCAACGAATCGGGACAGGGGGTGCTCTTGTCTGAGAACTTTGTTTCATTCTTGGAATCCATGGATGTCCAAGCATTGCATGCCAAGGCATTTCCAGACTCCGTACCGAAGCCGGCATGCAAGCATCTGCCTTGGACAGCTCGGAGTCACGTGGGTTGGCTAGGGACACCCAAAGGAAACCTCTTCCATTTCGGGGGTCCATTTCTATAGTTTGTGTGGACACTTGGCCGCATCCAATTGCCCCATGTTTTGCGGAAGCCTTTGGTCGATTTGATTACGTCCGGATTCGGATGTCTCAGGTTCGCCTACTGGCCCGGGCGCCAGATGGCTTGCAGGGACGAGGCCGGGACATGTGAGGCATGTGGAATATCCCTTCCCGCGGTCCATGCTTCGCGTTTGGCCGGGTCACATGCAAAGGGGCAACCTGATCGGGTTTCCTGCAAGAGCCCCCTTGCATGTTTTAGCCATTGTTTAAACAGCTTCTGGTTTCCCTAAGGCAACCGGGACATTGTTGTTACAATTTCGCAACCAACCCTCGAGGAACCTCTTTGAGCTCTTTTTTCGCCAGGCCTACCTGCGCAAGGTCGGACAGGCGGTTGCAGCTTTCAGTTTCGTCGGTTTTGGCCGTGCAATGTAAGCCGCAGAAGGCCCAGGGAGTGCTTTACATTGGGTGGATCATTTTAGTACCAGGAGAAGGCTTGAGTGTGACATGACTCATGTCGGAGCGCCAGGAGAAGGCCTGCAATGCAGAGGGTCAGGAGGCCGAACATGCAAGCAATCTCTCAGTGGCTGTGGGCAAGTCTCAAATTTGGGGAGCCCCTCAAGCGGTCGCCACACCGGGCTCTTTTGGGCGTTGAGGCCTGCGGTGTCAAAGGCTTTTCCTGCTGCGAGGCGGTGGGATTGGGGTGATGGCGTCTCAAGTTGGGTCACGTGTCATAGTCATAGCCAGGATTCGGTTTTTGGAATAAATCAACATTGAAACAACGATTCCCTTGGTGCATTTGGTTCAAGATTGAAGCAATATATTCACTGGCATCCGGCTCATTTTGATGCCTCGGTGTCAAGGTGTTCCATGGGTGGGCGGAGAAGCTAGAGGTCTTCACCGGAAGGCAAGGACAAGCCTTGCAAGGGATGAGTGACCACAGACGCCCCCATCCCTGACTGCCACTTCCCATATTTTGGGTCCACCGTCAAAGTGTGCGGGTCCCCTTAATGGGCGTGGGAATATGAGCGTGCCTCGGTTTTGCGGGAAGTCCAGAGCAAGTCTGCAAGCACAACCGACCGTGGATTTTGACGAACCTCACATGATCAGCGCCTCAGACCCCTATTGGCCATTTTTTGGTAGCTGGTGCTACCTAGCTAGCTTGTGGTTATGGGAAAGCCGTATTGGGTGTGTCTTAAGATGGAGGGCCTCCAAACTGTTGGTTTTCCCTGTGATTTGCCTTAAACATCCACACCAACAGGATACTCTCAAAGCAAGACGCATTCATACAAACCTTTACGACCATGTTAGCAGAACAGTCAGCTTTGGTTTTGGGCGCTGCTCACGTGGAAAAGAGAAACGCTTCCGCAGGCCCTGGGACTTGCCCTGCAATTGCGGTGGGTCTGGCCTGGTTTTTTTCGACTGGCACTCCGCATCAGCAAGACAAATGAGTGTGTTTTTGAGGGTACCCTTTTGGGGGCCGTTTTCAAGGGAGCCATGGGAAACCAAAGGAACCAGAGCGAAGACAGGATTTTAGGGGATGCCTATGTTAAGACAAGCCCAAATTTGCAAGGCCTCGAGCGGTGCGCGCAATTTCACCGCACCTCGGACTATCCGCAGCTGGGAGCAACTCGGCGAAGGGGGAGTGTCGAAATGGCTTTAACAAGCATTCGGAGGTCACAACCACAGTCTTTTTTTGCCCTCAGCGCAAGCTCGCTCGTGGCGGGCTATTTAGGAAAATCACCGCTGCTGCTTTCGCAAGCACGAGGCGGGAAGCATCGCGCAATGGTTCAGCAATCTCTTTGGCATCTGGTTGTCTAGCAGGATCCACCCATGCTGCAATGCATTGATGCCCCATGCTCGGACTGCAACATGGGCATCTTAGTTTACGTGCGTGAGTGAGAGCATGGGTGAGTGTGAGGGCGGGCACATGCGTGTGGGTTTGTTCCTTCGTGCCGGAGTCATTCATCGGGTCAAGGGTTGGACAACTAACTATTGCATGAGGAGTTCTTGGTGCATTTACTGCGATTGAGTCCAGCCTACCACTGCGCTAGTTGCAACTAGGTGGTGTTTGCACTATTCTTCGCGATTTAGGCTATGTGTCAAGATACGGGGACCCCAAAATGGGTGATGTCGTGGTTTACTTTGAGCCGGGGCAGGGTAGCAACTACGAGACTTAGGTGGGTGTCTTTCCCAGCAGTATCCCGGCCATGGACTTCAACAGCTACAGCTCGGCCACGCCCTTGGACTTCATGCTCCTAAGGGTGCGGACCATTGGTGGATTTCTAAAAATGGGTCCCTGCAGGGTTTCCTAGGGTTCCGCAATTTTGGAAGCTCCCATTCAAGTGGAATAACAAGTTTAAACTTAGGTTTCAAGCTTTCTTAGGCCAACTCAGGAAGGAAGTAGCTGGTCAAAACACCTGGAGACGTGGACAACTGAGATGGGTTCATGCGTCTAGATGTTAGACAAGCAGCAGTTGAGGGTCCCATATGTGGGCACATAGACTGTGTGACCTGACCTTTTTTGGCGCAGCTTGCTGGGAAGTCAGCTTAAAACCCATACTTTCTGGTGCAACATCAGAGTTCCCGCATACCCAGATGTAGGATAACTAGATTTTGGTGCTGGATTTTCGGACCTTTGCTTTCCGTTGTTTTGTTTGGTAGCAGCCACAAATCAAACTTTATAAGTGAATCGCTCGACAATAGAAAGGGCAAAGGTGTGCCGAATCGCGACGCAGCTATCTGTGACTTTCCTAAGATATACCTGACCAAGATGTTGAAGCAAATGTTGAGGTTTGTACCATGAAGCAGCAAGGAAGCCGAAAAGGAGCCTTGGCTGATGCATCTCCACATGGGGCTAACACTTTGCCATTCAATTTGTCGCCCCAAGAGGCCGTGCTTTTTTGGGCAATATTGAGTATGGTCCGCATGCAAGCATCGGTTCATGGGGGCAACCCAATTGCGAGAAGCTGTCAACACAGCCCTAGTTTTCAGGCGCACGCGAAATCCAAAAGTGAACGAGAATACTTTTCATACTGCAGCTTTCATGTTTGTTTTTACAACCCCCCTTATTATTATATAAGCCTTTCGCTACTCGGATCTTGGGTTGCCTCAGGTCCCTAACCCCTTCTATTACACTTATGCCTCAGTTGCAGGGCCGTCCTATTCTCAGGACGTCTTGTGGGCCCTGAAGCTCCGCGGCTCTGAAGTCTTCACGGAGACCTTCCAGGACTGATCTGGCACGGTTTCCCCGGTTTTTCTTTAACACATTCGCACATTCGCTGGAGCAAACTTTTGTTATGGTTTCTGCCTCTGGTGGGTTTCCGTTTCAAGAACACGAACGGGGGGGGGGGGCTTATGATTGTCGGAACCGATGAAGCGGAATTGTGGATTGTGTGCACCAGAGCATTGAATCATTGTCAAACTGTGGGATGCCAGCTGGTATTGGACGCAAGCGTAACTGAAGGCATGCTGGCGCTGGACTCAAGCTGCTTCCGTGTCCATGTCCATGTCTACACGCTCCAATGATGCTCGGACCTTGGTTGCAAAGAGTCAAAGGGATGCTCAGTTTTGACACTTGCCAGATTGCGCTCGCAGCTGCAATGTGACCTCGTTTTTGGCACGTTTCAGGTGGGCAGGGAATGCACCTGGATTGCCAGCAGCTGAGGATTTTGGCTGAGTTCTCGTGTGTGTGCGGGGATTTTTTGCGATGTCCTCCGTTTGCCCAACGAATGCCATGGAGTTGAGGTCAGCAGCTTCTTGTTGGTGCATGATGAGCATGCTCTTCTGGATGAATGGCTGGGCTTCATGCTGAGGCTGCAGCTATTGCTTTCGCCAGTTGCTTTCGCGACCTTTAAACGCCATGGGCCAGGCAACACTTTCCCAACCTGGAGGAGTTGCATGCGGAGAGGCGCCGCCAGAAAGCTGCGTTCGCCGTTCACGGCCAACTGCAGGTCCGGCGGCTTCGCGAAGTTGCAGTCTGTCCAGAATCGAGCCAAGTGGTTGCGGGCATCTCAGCTCTGCAATCTTCCAGATGTCAAGGGAGTTGGACTGTTTGGGAGTGTCTTTGGCAAGCTGCTTTGGGGGGTTCGAAGGACCTTTTGGTTGTTATCCCTTTGCACCTTTTTTGACACTAAGCGGGCGTGTCACAAATACCAGCGGCATTGTTTGGAACAACTTGCGTGCGCACTCACAATCATTCCGGTGCTACACAAAATGATCACATGCTACAATGATCAGCTTTGTTGCACTGCTATACAGCAACGGCATAAACGTATCAGCGCCAGCGAGTAATTATACGAGCTACGGGCAGCTGACTTACAAGACTTTCTGGATACGCAGCTCTGGCCATAGCATTTGGTATCCAGCTTTTCAGAATATCTGAACTCTACCACTTGTAATGGTAAGTATGTACAATTTTGCTAGCTTTATCTACAGGTTGCCATGCTTTATCAGAACACCTTGTTGGCGCAAGGCGTTTCATAAGATTTGCGTTGCCGCATGAATCTCTCGCCGACTCGCCTTTTTCGTGCGATGTCCGAGGCTAAAGCGAAGCTGGAGCCAGGGTGCGGAGGCTGCGTAGAGTTCACCCACCAGGGTTGACTCGCTGCGGCCCTCAGGGCGCCGCCGTCGAGATATATGAGCTGTCCTCAGGTTTCTGCGGGCGTGCGTCATACTGGACTTAGCCTTCATGATATCTCCGGAATCAAAGCCATTGCCAGCCTTACATGGAAGTTTGGACCACCTGCGGAAACTTTGTGTGTGAGGACATCTACCGGCAGGCAACGGAAGGTGTTCCCAGAGAGGACCTGCCGCACATGCGGAGAGTGCTTCTTTCAGGATAACCACCACACATGGAAGCTGACTGGGGTGAGCTGGAAGGCAATTGTCCCTGAAGAAAAGGGGATCCTTTGGTGGGTTCTGCATTGGTTGACCGGAGAGTATCCTTAAAGAAAAGCAAAGATATTAAGAAGTGAACAGGCAGCCGTATATACTGCGGATGGAAACCTGGACCAGTCAGGAAAAAGAACCTATAAAGACTGGTTGATAAGCCAGCTAATCACTGTTGCCTGGCGCGGATTTTGTCCATCCACAGTATTCAACTCCCCCTCCAAAGAACTCGCTCCAGTAGGGACCTCATGGCTGGGTGGACGTATCCTTTCGAGGAGCTCTTTCCGTACTTCACACACCTGGAGGGCATCTTACGACCTCTTGCCCAGTCGAAACAAGCGCCGCCCTGGCGCTATTTGGGCATGGCTCATCAAGATTGGGTGAATCCCAAATGGAAAGGTGACCTCAAATCAAACACGCCCAGTTTCGTCATTCAGCGGCAGCACATTGCTCCATTCGGTTGCTACGTGATTGTGTGAGCCACTGTCAGACGTTGTACATCATGGTGGGTTTGCGTGCTTGGCCCCTTTCTATCACACATGAGTGGAACCCTTTGGCCAACCATTCTCGGGGCATTTCCCGTTGACATTCATAGCCGTATGAGGTTCAGTCAAAATTCCCAGTAGTCCACTGTCTAGTTTGGAAATGCGGAAACTCACTAAGCTTCCATCAACAAGCCAGGGGACACGCCCAACAGTTTCCCATGTAGCACTGCCAGACTTGGCTTACCGTTTTAACTGGTTGGATTTTTGGTCCTTCAATTCCCTGTCAACCAGCAAACAGTGACTTTTGGCAGGGGGTCCAAGTCTGCTGAAGTAAAAGGGTACCCTCAAGAAGCACACACACACACCATTTCTGATTCAGTCCGGTTGTCAGGGCTCCATCGGATGGGATTCCTGAGCTTGATTTGGACGTGCTCCAGGCGAGGGTGAAGTCAGCATCTCGGTTGTTTGTTGCCTCAAAATTACGCAGGCGTGGCCTGACTGTGGTAAGAGGCACCCAAAAACAGTTGCCCCATCTGGGGGTTTGTCAAAACAGGAATCGATTCCTCAACACCATGAAATGCACAGACCCAAACTTCTGACCCGAAAAGGTCCCTTGGGAAGCCAACAGACGGTTGTTTGAGTGTTTGTCAAAACAGGAAGGGGTCCTTTTCCTAAAATGGCAAGTGTTTTCTTTTCTGTTGGTTTCCCCCCTCCAAGCAGCAACCCACACAGGGTGAACCCCCCATTTGAGCATTGTCAAAGTCACACAACTGACAGGTTCAAGGGAAACGAGCAACCAGTTCTCAACGTTAACCCGGTCACACGAAACGTCGAAAGGAAAACATAACCATAGCCTGCCTGGCAAAGAGGATGCAGTCAACCAGACCAGCTTTAGAAGATCAAGCCTGCCCAAGAGCATCATCTACCATGCACAAACACAATGTAGAAACTGATGCAGTCCGGCGTCCAGCTCCCAGCAACCTCCTCTTGATCCGCCCTTTTAGCAAGCTGCAAATCAGAAAGACACGTTTGACCGACCCAAAGAGTCAACAGTCGCCTCGCATCCAAAGACATGGCGCGAGTCTTGCGATGCGGCGGGTTTTCGTGAGACCAGACTGAAAATGTGTCGATGACTGGCAGGCTGCTTTTGGTGAGCCTAGCAAGTGTGGCGGATGGCGAATTCGGCAAGGTTTCATTTTTCCGGGAGAACTTGCGGTCTGGATGGTCTGGCAAGAGACCTGGGGAGTTGGGCCGTGGACTTGTGTCCAACTCGAACCCTTTGTGGGACTTGGGCAGATCTGACTGCGGCTTTCTGCAGCCGGATGGATCCGTGTTCATGATCCGGGATTCCGCGGACATGAAATTGGCGGCCCAGCTGTTTTGCCGGCGCATGGTTCTAACGAATTGCACCCAGACGGATGACATCGCTTTGCTGTGTCCCAGCAGTTGCCAATTTTTGGAGCAAAGCACCTATTCGAGCTGGGATGGTTATGGGAACCGAGTGCCATGTGGAACGGCCTGTGTGCCACCGCAAGAGTGTGGGGCATACCGTCCTGACCTACCATTCCCCAACCCACTGACGCGGAAGTGCGAGAGCTGTCCCTCCGATGGGTGCGAGGAGTGCATGTATGTGGAAGCTTGCCGGTTCCCAGCATCCTTAGACTTGACTTGCGAGTGTGAATGCTAATGGGGACCCTTTGGTGCACATCAACTAGGTGGGGATTCATGTCCACCAACCACTTTTGATGTGCCCTCTAAGTCGTAGACTTGTAGAGTTCAGAGTTCGATTTCTCATATCTCCCACGAGCTTTCCTCTTGACCAACCAAGGAAGGCGAAGGCATGAAATGCACGCAGTGCAAGGAAGGCTTTGCCTTGGAGGAGGGCTTCTGCGTCTATTTGATGGACAAGCTGCTAGTGAAGACCTACGCGGTGCTGGGTGTGATTCTGGGTCTCTTGCTG